CTCCAAAAAGAATATACTCCTAGGAACCAGCTCAAGTACTAGGGATAAATCCTAGTGCCACTGTCAGTGGCCCCACAAGTTGCCCAAGCCTCATAACTGTCCCCCACATTCACTTGGCCTAATTTGGTCCTTTGCAGGTTCACCAGCTATCAGTCCAGAGTCAGTGAGCTCTCACTAGCTCAGGGCAGCTGTTTCTGTGGGTATCACCATCATGGTCTTGATCCCTTTGCTCATATCATCTCTCCTCCCTCACTTGGGCTGTTCTCGGACAGCTCGGCCCAGTGCTTCACTGTAGATCTCTGTATCTGCTCCCATCAGTTGCTGGCTAAAGGTTCTATATGACGGTTAAGGTGATCATCAGTCTGATTATACAAATGTCCCAACTTTTATTTCTACCTCGGAATCTTCTTTTCAGCTCCCTCCATTCTTATTCCAGGCATCTAACTCCTCGCTCCACCAAGTGGTCCCAAGGGCTTCTCCAACTCGATATGAGTCTCACAGTCTTCTATCCTCCTGAATGACCTGTTTCTGTGAACAAATCTGCTCTTCTCTGTTCCTCAGCACTGTAACCCACTGATCTTTGCCTCCCCCTCCTCCATATTTCTCAGCACCCATTCATTCTGCTTCTTCGGTCCAAACACTCACAGCCTTTTGTATTGTTGTAATAACCTAACCAGGCTTCCCTTTCAACTTCCCCACTACACAATGAGGCTATGTTCAGTTTCTAAAAACGGGATTTTAACTGTCCTTTTCTCCCTGAAAACATTCCATTGTTTACTATCTCAGACATAAACAAGTGGGGAGCCCCTTGTTGTGGCAATCCAGGGGTCTCCATCAGCAGCCTATCCTTTTCCTGTTACTCTTTGCTGATTGAATGCTACTCTACGTAACAATTTAGATTCCGTATCTGCTGCTTCAAATACTGTGCAGTGTTCCCATTTCAGACTCTGGGTCACACTGAGCTTTAGCTTGATGCCCTCTCTCCCCATTCTTGAGTCTCCAGTCACTACCGACCTCGCCCACTCAGATGCCGTCCCAGAACTTCTAATGCCGTCAGCTAGAAGCAACCTCTCCCTGTCTCTCCTCGGCCTCCTGGCACCTTCTTTTTGCCTGAGCAATAACTGACGCTGTGTTTCTCAGGCTTCAGTTTCTTGCAGAATTTATTTTTCTTCTTCATGAGAATGTAAGGGGCTCAGAGAAAGTAACTATTTCAGAAGCATATATTTATTTATTACAGCATATTTGTGATGTGTATGTGTGCATGCTGGCACATGCATCCCACCATGCACTTGTGGAGGTCAAAAGGCAATCTTCAGGAGTCACTTATCTCCTCCACTTCATTAAGGCAAGGGTCTTCCTTGTCTCTGTCCCCCATCTCTCCACAGGAGTGATGGGATTACAAATGAGTGTCACCGCATCTGTCTTTTGGGTTTTATTTTTTTAAGACAGAGTCTCACTCTATAGCCCTGGCTATCAAGTAATACACTCTGCTGACCAAGCTGTGCTCAGATTCACAGGGATCCGTTGGCCTCCGCCTCCCAAATACTAGGATTAAAGGCGTGTGCCATTATATATGGCCTAGTGGACTTTTTGTGGGTTTGTTGTTTGTTTTGTTTTGTTTTTTGTTTTGTTGTTCTTTTTCTTTTCTTATTTTTTTTCTTTTAACACAGGGTCTCTCTGTGTGGCCCCGGCTGTCCTGGAACTCACTTATGTAGACCAGGCTGGCCTCAAACCCACAGAGATCTGCCTGCCTCTGCCTCCTGAGTGCTGGGATTAAAATCATACGTAACTACTCTCTGTCTACGTTTTTCTCTTTTTTCAAGTGTGGGTTCTGGAGATAAAACTCAGGTCACCAGGCTTGTGTACCAAGCACTTTGATCCACTGAACCTTCTGCCAGAACCTCAATAGTTTTGAAACACTGAAAAACTACGGATATATTACATTTGTACATAAGTATCTAAGTATTGGATAAATTAATAATAAAACAACTTAATATAAATCCTGCTTGGAAGAATCAATCATACGTGAATATTACTGATCAATAATTAATCAACATCTCCACAATACATTTTTGAGTATTGTGCTTACTTTTGTGAGGAATGAGGTAGGGGCAATATCTCTGCACACTACCTGACCATCTTGACTTCCAACTGTACAAAGTGGATTGACTAATTTTCAAAATAAGAGGTCATCTTTTATAGAATTGGAATTTGTGGCTTTTAACTGTTGAAATGAGCTAAGTAAAGCAGCCAAGAACTCAGGAAGTTGCTCATTGAACAAAAGTCTAATTGAGCAAAAAGTCTAATTGTGCCTTGATGAAGTAATCAACAATGAAAGTCACTCGGAAGAGTCACAGTAATAAATGCTCAGCTTGCCAAGTCTCCTGCCAGGGCAACTGGGGGAAGCAGGTGGCATTTCACATCTATTTGCTTCACACTAGGTTAGAGAGGGTCTATCTGGCAGTCACCTCTGTACAGCAGCAGTAGAGCTCCAGAAAAGCCTTTAGATCAACTCAGTTTATTTGATGATAGAAACTAATTATTCCCAGAACATTTTTCAGTGATGTATTACTATCAGACTTAGCAAAGGAATAATAATCTACTCTGCCTTGTAAGAAAAAAAAAAAACACTCCTATCTTAAAATAAGATCACGCCTGTAACATTATAAAATTCCCTTCCCGCCTGCCTTGACTGATGGGAGAGAGGCATCACATTGCCTCCAAGTGACAAAACACTGGTATTCCTAAGCAACACTTTTATAATCCCCATGTTGTCAAAACACTTCAGAAGTCCCGCCTCTACCCATACCTTCCACTACTTGTTACTAACTCCAAGAGAAAATCAGCACAGACTGGCAGCCAGAGAGACTAGGGAGGGATTGCTGGGTTTGGTGGACACTCGGTCTCCTGTGCACCTCTCTGGGAGCTACTCCTAGAGAAGAGGGGAACGATCACCCCTGGGAAACCACACTAATGACGGGTTTCATTTCTGGCTCTGTCCTGAGGCTGCCTCCCAACCTCAGGGCTTCAGAATGCAGAGAACAAAGAGCTTGCTTAAGGAATTTCCTACTTGAGAAAATGCTACAGTTATGTGGTTAAGAGTGCAGAGGCTGATCTCAAGTTGTCTGGGTTCAAATCCTGGTTCAATCACTTAGTAGTGATGAGAATCTGAATAGTTAATCTCCCTAAACATCCATTTCCCCTTTTGTAAAAAGAAAATTCTTATCGTATGTCTTAGTTATTACAACTTATTAAGTGAAAGAGTGCCTCTGAGACACTTAGCAAAATATTTGGCACAACAAAATGCTACTAATATTTGCTCAAGAACAATAGAAAATTGGTTCACAGAAGTTTAGAAAATTTTGTGACCAATGACTAGATTACATTCCCACCCTGCCCAAAAAAAAAAAAAACCTAAATGTTAAAAAAGTGATTCTAAAGACCCAAGCCTGTTTGTTGCCTAGTTGCTTTTTCCTGAAAGAACTATTTATAAAAGTTAAAAAAGCAATGTTGATGAAGTCATGTATTCTTCCTACACACAAAGGGAAGCCCAGCACAACAGCTGGGGAACAAACAATGTGTTGTTTTTCTTCAACAAATGTACCTGAACTTACACATCAAAAAAGAAGAGTTTTAATCTTCAAAGGGATCACCTCAGGAAGCTGTGTACTTTCAATAGAGCTGCCAAATACTGTCAGAGTCTCCCTTCTGCATTAGCTCCTGGCTTGGCCTCACATTCTTTCAGGTGCTTTTGTTGGCAACAAAATTTTTTGCTCTGAGAATTTTCAGTTTTGAATCGGATTTAAGAAAAACTCGTGAATAAGATGGAGAATAATATCTTCTCAGGTTTGGGGGAAGTTGGGTTTGGGGAGTGTTGTTTTTGTTTTGGTTTAATTTCGTTTGGTTTGGTTTGGTTTTTAATGAGAGATGGCTTTTTTTTTTTCTTTTAACTTGGATAGTCAAATATATCGATTCCAGCTAGTGCATCTCTAGCATTTAGGATCAACAGAAGCACTGTCAGCGTGAGCCAGCTGCTTCCTGTATGCACTCTAAGTTATGTAGTTATTTATTGAATTTTACCAAATGGACACCTCTTGAGAACTGAGAACTTTGACAAGCGCTAGCTTATCCTGTGTTCGTCTTACAAGGAAAGTACTTTCAACTTCCCCGGTTCATGGCCACTGAGGTGCCATGGAATTTGATCTAACGTCATGAAGCAGATAAATGGGAGAGTCAGAAACCAAACGCAGGCTGCCTGGTTAGCGCGTGTACTCTTTTCTAGAAAACAGAACCTGACAGCAGTAAAGATTCTGCTCTTCTCTTCTGTTCTGGAATAGGTTGTAAGGTTGTTTGATTGCTTGCTTGGTTGACCCATTCATCGAGGTACTGTGCTTAAATTTGGTGGAAAATATATCTTGCCATGAATTATTCTTTTTTTACCTCAGTGGATGGAGAGTAACGTTACCGAAGCTCCCTTTCTTCATTGTCTGGCCTGTTGCACCAGGAGGAAGTCGCCCCACTTTCTAGCTTCCCCGCTCTCTGAGGATCCGGTCCCTGGCGGTCTTTCCTGTTTTCCACATGTGTAGGCCTTTTACCCAGCAATGTCTTCGGCCTGTGCCAGGAGCAGTCTCCTCCCACCACTTTCAAAATTCCCTCCTGACAACTCACCTTTTTCCATTGCTTCACTCCAAAGTCTGTATCACCACCAGCCTGATGGGGAAGGGAGAAACGGGGCGAAGAGAAAGAAAGACAGTGAAAGCTTCCCTCCCCATTAAAAGACATTTCTGGGTTATTTTTCTTAAGTTGAATCTCTTCTGTGACTGTCCCCATCATCACCAACTTGTATCTCCTTTGTTGCAAAACACACGTTTCCAGGGTGGCTTCTTATCAAGGCCAGCCACGTGACTCTGTCTATCCTTTCAGACAATGACCATTGGCCAGATCTCATTCCCGTATAAACTTTGAAAATTAATTATGCTTCAACTTTTCTTTAATTTCAGGATAAAAGAAAAATACAGGAAGAAATCTCACAGAAACGTCTGAAAATAGAAGAAGAAAAATCGAAACACCAACATCTCAAGGTACCACATCTGACTTCCCTTTCCCCTCAGTGGTTTTGTGTTCAAACAGCCTGACAGCATTTACCAGCCCACCACCATAAAGATGCTTTAGGAGAAAGAGACATGCCAGGTTAGCTCACCCGTCAGTCTAATCACCCTGGAGGAAGCTAGTAAGGTACTGATAATCGCGTCTGAGATTAATACCTTTTGGCAAACCTGAGGAAAGTTGGGAACACGGTTTTATTGCCTCTATGAACAGAGTTTCCAGATCTTCCTCAGTAACCTTGAGAATTTGGCCCTGGTGAAGCCTTGCTTAACATCCTGGGGGGGGGGGGGGGGGTGCTGATCCAGCTAGGAAGTTCCTTTTGAAATCAATGAAAGGCCAGCCCTTCCCCAGGGGCTGTAGAGCAGACAGTGTCTCGCCAGCCTGGTCAAGGATGCCTGTGTTCCAAAGCTCCCTGCAGTGAGTCTGATGTTGTTTGCATATGGTTGGGTTTCTATTTTATTTTGTTTTGACAGAACATGAGATCATAACTATAAATAAATCTCCATTAGAAAACTCAGACTTTACATCTTGCACAGGGTGTGGTCATTTTGTAATTAAAGCACATAGGGTTTCAACATTTTGTTACGTAGTTTGGTCAGAGGATCCAAGGAAAGGACAAACACGAGCTCCTTGTGAATAGGCTCAAGCAGGAAACCGTCCTTATCTGGCAGGGGCGCTATCAATAGATGGAATGAATTCCCTCAATGAGCAATGCCCCACAGTCATAAAGTCTCCCAACTTAAACTTGCCAGATTCCGCTAAATCCATTTTTCTAATGGAAAAAAAATATTGACTCTGAAAAGGCACATCATTCAGGACTCCGTTTAACCTCTGTCCTCTGGATTCTGTTGACCGCTGTGCTCCTATTGAAGGTGACATTTCCACTGTTTGATGGATGGCTGAAAGCCATAGTTAACCTGCTCTCCTTACAAAGTAGCACACTGAATTTATGTTGAGTGGTGGACACGCTCAAGAGATACAACATGTACACCCAGGAAAATCAGTGAAATAAAAACAAACTTAGCAATCCAAGGGAAGTCAGTGAATTCTCAAACATTAGAGACAGATCCAGAATAACTGGTGCCCCCTTTTCCCTCCCAAACACACACATACACAATTTGAGTCAGGCTACAAAGAGTTTCCTACTTCAGAGAAAGCATGTCCATCTCTGGCACTCAAGGACCGCGACCCCTGCAGTATGGAAGGCCATGTAACTGCCGAGCTCACCGTAACAAAAAGCATTTAAATATTCCCTCAGCTCTTTGGAGGAAGTAAGTAAGGTTCACACAGGAAAAGGCGGACTCACTCCAAGATTCATGCCCAAGGTGGCCTTAGTGGCATTATGTGTCAAAACAGTCCCAGCAAGAATATATACTATTTCGTATTGATATGCTTTCCAGAGTCAAGGAGCGTCTTCCAGTCCAATCAATGTGTGCACCAAACTTTGGATGACTGTCCACTGTTGTGTAGATTGTATACTGCACCATACAAATGAGCTACTGGAAACCTATTCATGCCCCCCTTGCCATCTGCGCCCTCTGCTCGGGGCCTGCCTGTACCTGAAGCAAGAGATTTTCATTTTTTCTGGTCCCAAGGTGTTCTCCTCTTTCCTTCAAGGACCCAAAAGGGCGGAGATGAGGAGAAGGGGGAAATAACGTGTTCTAATTTGAAAAATTAAAGTTAGGAAGACAAGTTAAATGGCGGTGTTTTTATTTAGACAGTAAATATTAACTGCACATTCTGAGGTCAGAGAAAATGTTCATGAAGATGTGGGTTTTAAATAGAACCTTAGATGGTGAGTGGAATTTACTGAGCTACACATAAGGCCTCTCAGTGAACATAGGTGAGCATAGCTCCTGTGACTTCCGAGGTACTATACAAAACCCAAAAATATGACAAAGCTTGCCCTGTGCCTTTTAACATAACTGACACATGACTCGCAATTAACTAGACTGGAGCAACAACCACAGAGGAAATACAGAACAAAGAGTGGAGATTTCACCATTCTTCCAAGTGTGCAGAAATTGCCAGCTAGTCCAACAGAAACCAGGCCCAATTCCAAAAGCAGGCTCACAAATGTGCAAACGTATTTTTTAAATCAATTTTATGCTATTTTGCCAAGTTTTGAAAGTTCTGTTATCTGTTTTCTTTTCCATCCATCCAGGGAGTTGTCCTGGCTCCCATTACTCTTCGCGGCTTCCCTGATTGCAAGCTAGTTTATATTACGCCACGATGGTACACATAGACATTGCAAGCTTCCTCTCCTCTCTCTCTCTCTCTCTCTCTCTCTCTCTCTCTCTCTCACACACACACACACACACACACACACACACACACACACACACACTCACACACACACACACACACACACACACTCACTGTGATCCTTAACTCCTGATGCTTGGGCCCACAATGCATTGCACTTCCATAGACATTTATTAACATTCCAATCTAATGATTCTGAAATACGTATAATGTGTATACTGTGGACCCCCTTGTCTGCAATAGCATTTATCAGGAAAAACAAATTGTAGTCAATAAAGAATTTTTTTCTTTGCTATAAGTCCATTCAACTCATAGTAAGAAAAACCAATTGATTCCAAGTCTGCTGTGATTACTGAGTGCCATGTAGTAACACCTCGGGAGACCTTTTGATAAAAACTAACAAATATGGCTTGTATGTCACCATAGCACTTGTATTTTCATTTAGTTACTAGAGCTTTTGGTTCTACTATCTACCTTTGTGGTGATGGTGATTAAACCCAGGGCCTTGTACACACCAGGCAGGCAGTCTCTAGGGAGCAGCATCAGCAGCCCATACAGCTTTTGATTCTGAACTTCATTGTCATGAAATAGTTAAGTTGGTGGCATCACAGATTCCTGCCTGGCTCATCCAGCTTAGTATCAGCAGATAGTGCCATCTGAGTGTTTCTTAGATCAACAGGCAAGCAACTGGCACTGTCCTTCGGTATGATTCAGAAAGACTCAAACTTACTAATGTGTGAGAATGGATTTGCATGTAAATAAGACCTAAAGGGCAAAGAAGATGACTCACTTGGTTAAGTGCTTGCCATAGAAACAGAGAGACCTAAATCAAGATCCCCAGCACACATATAAAAACGCAAGCACCTATAATCATAGGTCTCAGGAGGTAGAGACGGGCTTGCTGGCCAAATCCTGTCTCAAAAATAAGGTAGAGAGCCAGCCAGATGACGTACTGGGTAAAGCTGCTTACTGCCAAGCCCGGTGACCTACATGCAACCCTGGGATGTAGTTGGGGGAGAAAACCAGCTCCAGCAGGTTGTCCTCTGACCTCCATGCACCTCAGCACACAAGGCAGGAGCACCACCCCGTACACACATTAAGTAAGTCAAATGTCATTTGAAGAATGCCAAGGTGGAGAGTGAGAGAGGAAGACACCAGCAGTGACCTCTGACCTCCATATGTACCAGAATACAGGTGCAGTCACATGCACAAGTATATACACACAGAAACTTGTATATACTCATAGACCACCACACACACACACACACACACACACACACACACACACACACATACACGAGGTTTCAATATCTAAAAGCTAGCTTCAGAAGAGTCTAGCAGTTTCACAGAAGGAAAACATCAACTTTATGGAGGCAGGATAACAGAAGAAAATGAGTTTCTTTACTATGCCCATGACTACAATTCATGAAATTTGTGGGCAACAGGAGGTTTGTGAAATTGTTGACAGATAAAGAAATAACTGTCTTCTTGACTACACATTAACTATCCTCAAATTCCATCAATAAAAAATAGATTAAAATCCAGATAAATTTTTAAAACGCTGATCCATTTTCTTGGTGTCCTAAACCCCAGGAGTCAAATATGGGCCTATATTATTGTTGTTCACTGGGTCTGGGAAGGAAAAGGTTCTGTTAGCAGCTCATCAGCTATTATTATAAAAGTCTTGATTGGCTGGGGAAGACTGTCTGGCCCCAGAACAGAGTAACACAAACCGCTCTTGTATTGGGTGTTAGTCCCAGAAATGAGTGCAGATTCTGAAAGGGTCAACAAAACACGATGATATAGGTCTCTTCTTTTATCCAGTGGTCTGTAGCCCAGGTTCTGCGGCATCTGTCTGCAGCCTTCAGACCTTCTTACTTTGACAGATTTTTTTACATGACCTCAATAGTTATTTGTAGTTATTGTAATACTGATTTGGTTTCTTTTTAAAGAAGAAAGGAGCCAAGAAGTTTACAAAGAAGGAAAAATGCCGGATTTGTTGAGTTAAATCAGTGAGGAAAAATAATCCCTCTTCTTTCATATGCCCACTATTGCCATTCCTAATATTTGCAAGCAATAAGAGATTTGGGGAGTCGTCGGCAAATATAAAAATATCTGTTTATGTTTCCTGACATCAGAAAAAAGCCTTGAGGGAGAAATGGCTCCTCGACGGAATCAGCAGTGGGAAAGAACAGGAAGAGATGAAGAAGCAAAACCAACAAGACCAACACCAGACCCAGGTTCTAGAGCAAAGTATCCTCAGGTATGCCCTTTCTGGGGTACTTCTCAAATCTCCTCCCCCCGAAAGTGAAGGTGGTCGTCATGAGAAAATTGGGAAGTGTAAATATTAGATGGGATTATTAGTAATGCCATGAACATAGATATCATGGGAGAAAGATGGGGGGGTCAAAAGTCATTTTCTAACCTATACACAGAAGATAAATGACATGTTTTCCTTTTATGTGTATGTATATGTGCATGTGTGTATGTGTATGTATAGGTATGCTCACACATAGATAGCCTATATGTGATAAAAGCCAAAGGTTGATGTTGGCCTATCTTTCTCAGTTGCTTCTTCCCCTATTTTTAAAAAATATTTTTATTAATTTTTTGAGAATTTTATACAATGTATTTTGATCATACTCACCCCAAGTCCTCCCAGATGAATCCTTTCCTTCCTACCCCCAGAACCTCATGTCCTCTTTGTTGCTGCTGCTGCTGTTGCTTTAAATAAGTCATGGGCTCCAGTGTTTGTAGACCTGGGTCAGGGGACCTCCACAGAAGCATGATCAGTATATCAAAAGCTACGCCTTCAGAGAAAACTGAATCTCCTTCTCACAGAAGCCACAAATTGCCAGCAGCTTCTCACTCAGGGGTGTGGGCTCATAGACCCTTTCCCATTCATGCTAGAATGTTACTGCCTTGATCTTGTTGTAGTCTTGTGCCTCAACTGCTGTGTCCAACATACCTTGGTCCATGGAACCTAAGTAGGGGCAGTGCGGGAATGGAGAAAGGACAGACACAAACAGAAAGATTGGGATCACGAGGGTTATACATGTTCTGAAGAGCTGGATCATCTGCCACAGCAGCCCGGAACCTCAACATGTCTACTATGAACTACACAAAGGGAGGAGTTAGCTAGTCTTGATAGGAGGTGTCTGTAGGGGAGCAGCCTCAGGCTCCCCTACATCCAGGGGCAGGAAGTTACAGTTGCTAGTTTTCCCACACACTGATCAATCATTTGTAAACACTTATACCACAAGAAAGCTTTGCCATTCTAAGCCTGGCCTGTGTAGACAAGGCTTTCCCAAATCTCCAAGGGTCTGAGGCATTGGTCCTTGACATGGTTGTATCCTTGTCAGCAATACACATTCACTCAGGACTTCATCTGCTCTTTATACATTTAGTCTGGGGGTTTTCGGCTCCCCAAAGGCTGCCGTGTGCTCATGAACACATGATCCTGTCATGTCCAGAAGACACTATTTAACTCCAACCTTCCCTGTCTGACACTTGCAATATTTCCAAGCCCTTTCTTGGCCAGTCTTTCTGTTGTTGTAATGAAACCCCGTGACCAAAACAACCTGGAGAGGAAAGGGTTTAATTGACTTACATGTCCACAACAGTATTCAGCATCAAAGGAAGTCAGAATAAGAACTCAGAGAAGGATTCTGAAGGCAGGAGCTGATGCAGAGGCCATGGATGGGTGCTGCTCACTGTCTTGTTCCCAATGACTTGCTCAGTCTGCTTTCTTATAGAACCCAGGACCATTAGTCCATGGGGGCTGGGCCCTTCCCCATCAATCACTAATTAAGAAAATGCTGTACCAGCTTGCCTGCAGCCTGATCTTATGGAGGCATTTTCTTAATTGAGGTTCCCGCCTCTCAGATGATTTTAGCTGGTGTCAAGTGGACATAGGCCTATCCAGCACATTCTCTTCCTTGATGGTCCCTGATTCTTGGGAAGGGGATGTAATATAGATGCAGTATTTGTGGCTTAGCACTCCATGGACATTTATTCTCTGCACTATGGCCAGTTCTGAGTGTCTGCATTAACCACTGTCTGCTGTACAAAGAGATTTCTCTGACATGGTCTGAGATCTGCACTCATCTTTGGTAGAGGGACACGACATTTTGAAGGCTATTTGATACTGTCGATTTTAGCAGAATAATAGTAGCTGGTTCAACCCTGGCATCTGAGAGCTCCCCAACCATGGGCCAGATTTACAGTTCCAAGCATGAATTTCCACTGTGGAACAGGTCTTAAATCCAGTCAGAAGGTCATTGGTCCACTCCTATTTTTTGAGACAGGATGTCTCACAAAACTTGTGAGTCAGGATGTCTCACAGCATCAGCTAGGCCACTGAGAAGCTAGCTGCGGGGATGACAAGTGTGATACCATCATGCCCTGCTTCTGCATAGATTTAAATAGATGCTGGGGACTTGAACTCGGGTCCTCGGGCTTGTGCAGCAAGCACTTTATCCACTCAACCCTCCCCCCAAAAGATGAAATGTCTTGTGGCCTAATCATGACAACGATATGAAGTCTACTCTTCTTTGAAATAGAAGGAACTTCCAGGATGTCACTAACATAAGAATTGTGGGGAAGGACTGGACAGGTGTAGCAGCAGGGTCTTCAGCAAGCCTGCTGTAACTACATTCTCTCCATGCTCGCCAGAGACGAACAATTCGGGAGAAAGGCCTTTCTTTTTTTTTTTTTTCTGATGGCTTCCACTGTACTAGTTCTTAATAGGTTAGACTTTTGGCTTCACTACCTTGTTTTGATGGCTTTAAATGAACAGATAATGTAATTGGGATTTTTAAGTCTATTACCCCCCCCCAACACTAGTTGTTTGCTCAGTATGTCTCCAAATAGTAGATAATAAACATTTTCTTTAAAACCAAGACACGGCAAAGACCAACTGCCTCCGCAGTTAGACACTCCTTCCTTATGAGGCCTCCCTTTAGATCAAGCCCCATACCCAGCGTCCATCCAGCCTGAGCTGACGATGTCCCTTCTCCACTCCCCAACACAGAATCCTTATCTCTAATGACTCCCAGGCTAATCCCTGTAAGCCTCCCCGCTATGCTGACACCTCAGAACCCCCCTTTCCAGCCTTTCCACATATTGAACACCAACAGCTCTCGCTGAGCCTGGTGATAATAAATGGCTATGTACAGTCAGGCCGCAGGGGCAGGGCTACGGAGCAAGTCTTTAATCCCAGAGTATTGACTAGGATTCTCTGATTGCCTTTCAGCCTTGCCTGAATGCTCCAAGAAGCACAGAGCTTCCAGCCATACTGATAGTGGCTGTCTGGACAGAGCTCCTGGCTGAGCCAGAACTTTAAAGCAGGAGTAGATGTTTAGTGAGGTATAGAGAATATGCTGTCCCCATTCGGTCTTAATAACCTGTAGAGAAAGTCATTCATCACCTTCTGCAGAGAGACCTGAAAAACAAGCAGACAGACAGGTATTCCCTTATCCAGCTGTCTCAGTGACTGCAAAACGTCACACAGCAACCACTGGGGCCTCAAAAGGTCTCTCACAGGAAGGCTTTGTCTCTCATAGGAAGTCTTTAACCGTGTTCTGTCCTTTTATCAAATTGTCGCTCATATGCCCTGTTTCCGGCATCTCGCTGCAACTTAATTCTGGACTTTGAGGATGCTGTTACGCCATCAGGACTCCTTCATCAGCACCAGGTGAATTTAGTCCACAGATATAAGTAATAAATTTATAAAGCATTTGCCTAGATATGAACTCTTTTAACAGTCATGGCAACCCTAAATATAAAACACAAACAACTCCATATCACGGATGAGGAAATGGCTCAAAGAAGGTAAGGGACTTTGTGCCCAGCCACGGGACTCACAAGGAGCGGGCTGAGAGCTAAAGTCAGAGGTCTGCAGCTAGAAAAGAAAGAGAGAGCTTTAAGTATAAATGTTTTGGAAGCTAACATACAGCTGATATGGGTTAGTATCTACAATAATAATTTTTAAAAAAAATTTTAAAAGCTTTTTTTCAAGCAACTATCCTAAAGAGCTGTTTTTGCAAGGCATTAGTAAAGAATCCACATCTTTGTTGGCCTTTAGAGGTGTGTTTATCTTGTTTTTTTAAAATATGTGCAAGAACAGAACGTTCTGAAACAAAATATGAGCGTGAATAATATGTGCGCCTCGTCTGTATTTCCGCCGCTCCGCGGGTGCTCTGCACTGTACAATCGCACGGCCAAGCAGCTTTACCTGCTATTTCTGAAGCTGCTAAATAATCAAGTGCATGTTTTCCAATTCGGTCATCTGCCTAAGTAACTACCGCGGTGCTTAAGAGGCTTTTAGTACCAGTGAACTCAGTAGGGTCCTGCTGGTTCCCCACAGCCAGCTGATACAGTGAAACAGAGCAAAGCCACGCCTCCTTCCCGGAGCAGAGAAAGAGTCCAAGTGCGGCCTGTGATTTATCACTGAGGTGCCTGCTCGGGGAGTGACATTTGCCGCTCTGCCAGGCCCCTCGGCGAAAGGATAAGAGTTAAATAGGGACATCAAAATAGAAATGATGCCATTACCTCAGAGTTCGCAACAAGGCCAGGCCCTGCCTGTGAAGTGTTTATTCCTTCTATGTTCATGGTTTTGTGACAGTTCGCCTTTAGCATCTTACTCCCGTCCCCTGCCCGCAGTCTGTGAGCTCAGCTAGTCTGCGGTCACCGCTCCCAGCTTCCTCGCTCCTAAGTTGGGACAATCGGAGCCACATCACAGGACTCTTGAGAATACAGTGGTTTCCCTGACGCACAGTAGGTGATTCATATAAAAATATTAGAGAAAGGCAATACTATTCTTCATTGGAAGTATAAATCTTAGGACTAGGGAGCTGGTTAAAGCCATTGCAAGTGTTCTAGTTTAATGCTATGACGAAAAGCAACTTGAGAAAGAAAAGGGCTTTTTAGGCTTGGAAGTTACAGGTCCATCGTGGGGAAACCAAGGCAAGGCAGGAAAGCTAAAGGTAGGAAATGAAACAGAGACTATAGAAAAATGCTGCTTGCTGGCTTGCTTACCGTAGCTTGCTCAGCTAACATCCTTACACAGCCCAAAGACACTTCCCATCGATTAACAGAAAATATAATTTCCCACAGATCAGTGTGATGGAAGAAATTCCTCAGCCAAGGGTCCCTCTTCCCAAGTGTGTCAAGTTGACAACCAAGATAATCGATCACAGCAAATACGACAGCCTGTGTTCAAATCCCTAACATTCATGCAATAAGCCAGGCATGGAAGCCCAT